TTCGCAGCCTGGTAGCTGATAGATTTCAAAATTTATTGAACATGTATTGCTTCCTTTGCTAACGTGTTCCCAGTTGTTATTAAGGTGTCACTGAAATCTCACATTCCTGGTGTCCGCTTGGGCACTACTGTTTCTTACTTTCGTGTACTATCGTCTCATTCTATGTACACGTACTACAATATCATATCAAGTATGTAAACCAACCCATTATATTGCCATTTTTCGACCATCAGGCAGTTCATGAATATGGAGCAGTACATGATATAGTCCAAAGCAATGTTGTTCAATGACGAAAAGACCGCCAATGCTATACTACGCGAAAAAAATCCAGAGAAAGTCAAGGCGCTCGGACGCACCGTCGCGCGATTCGATCCTCTGGTATGTGGCTAAATGTGTTTTTGAGTGGTATTGAGTAGTATAGTATGGGGTAGTATGGGTGTGGTGGTGCCGAGTCTTGTTGTGGCCACGTGTATCCGAGGGCATGATTGAGCAGATTATTATAGATTAAGCACTCAGATACACAGTCGCGTGATCCGGTCCTGGGATGTGTGGCTAAGGGTGGTTTTTAGTTGTGTTAGTGTGGTATGGCTGTGAGGATTCGATTATTGTTGTGTGGTCATGTGCATTTGAGTGCTTTGAGTGTGGCATAGAGCGGGTTATAATAGATTTGGCACCCGGACGCACAGTCGCGCGATTTAATCCGCTTGTGTGTCACTGAAGATATTCTTGTGTGATATTGGGTTATAATGTATGTCGTTGTGTGGCAGTGTTTTGTTTCCAGTTGCGATGTGTGTGTTGTGTGCCCTTATGTCTTTCTGTTATATTTTGCTGTCTATCAGTGTAATGTATATTAGGGTATTTTAGTTTGATTTGGATCTACTAGTTTTCAATTGTTTCGTATTAGTTTAGGTTCCTTTCTTACACAATCTCCAAATATATATCCGAGAGTGGTATGCAGGTTTGCACATGTGTATCGCTGGCCATGAACTGAACTATCCGTATACCTGTTGCCAGCAATGGCCCCGGTAGGCGAAAGGAGGTAAATGGGTAATTTAAACAAAGCGTAACGTGTGCCTCAATCCTTTTATTCTGTATTGGTCTTTTATCGGTCCTCATACATGCCCCGAGTGTAAGTTCATATTACGCTCCGTCCGTTCGCTTTCTACGATAATACACATTCGGAGATGTTCAAACATGTGCAGTATATATACACATACACACACTCCTCTCAGGTCTGGATCAGTCGCAGCATGTTCCTTGTGCAACAAGGGCTGCGGTACAAATTTCGCCAAAACCAAGAAATGCGCGATATAATGCTAGGTATCGAAGGTCGCACACTGGTCGAGGCTGCCCACTACGATAGGGTGTGGGGTGTAGGTATGCATGAAACGGACACGGAGATTGTGTTTGTGGACCGATGGAGAGGCCAGAATTTACTGGGCCAGGGTCTGATGAATGTACCCGCGGAGTTGCTGTTTAAGGAGAGTTGTCGTGGGAGGCGAACGAAGAAGAGGTGGATATAAAGGGGTGTATGTGGAGCGATTATGGCGTGGGTCAACAAAAGAAGTGAATACCAAATAACATTGAATTGCACGCACAAGATATATGCATACTTTATATTTATCACAAAGATGGAATGAGTTTTAAATTGAAATCGATGAATTCATACCTACCTGAGCTGGATCTTGAACCCACATTCATATAAGGTGAAATTGGCAGTATTCGATATATATGTGTCGCCACGATGACGTAGCTCGCAGGGAAGGCGTGCTTGAGCAAGTCCATCTATAAAAATGAGCGTATTTACACTTCTCAGGAGAATTCGGAAAAGTATCGGGCTTTGTCAAATTCTGAAGTGGTCAGGGAGTTATGTAGCCTGAACCGCAACACCCTTCTGAATATCGGTCTACAGCCTATTTTTTTCTGCTCGATGTTCAACCCACTAATATATTTCCTTTTCTGCTTGAGGTAAAATACATCAGATCTCCTGGCACGAAGCCACACGCCATATAGATGTAAGGTACACTGCGCGCGTCCAATGCACTGAACAATTCGTTGCCCGGATTACACTTGGCGCCAAACAAATACATTCTTCTGCAAACAATGCTCTGGAAGTTCATAGCTCTTAATCCGATCCAGCCATAGCGCTACGTAGTTAAAGATCATAATACCATGAGAGAAGATTTAGAACGGATCATGTGCGAGCTTTAATCATTCGGATAGAATACATGACCAATGAATCACTTCGGAGTGTGCGCGATTATGAATGCGAGCCAGATATCGTACACCTTTATTTATACCTAAGGTATACCTCGCTGACTGCTTGGCCAAATGGCGAAACAAAATCACACTCTCGCCTGTACGGCAGCCATACGAACCCCTCATTGAAATGATTAGGCGGGGTTTCTTCTATAGTACCACAAGCATTTGCCAGCCATGCATTGCAGCATATAGTGTGATTGTGACATCTGCTAGTATCGCACTTGCGATAACAATCATGTAGTTTGTCCTATTTCCAATATTCTTTATCACATACATCAAGCATCACACCATAATCGGATAGCAATTTTGGTAAATATAAAAATGATGATCGAGCCAAGAGCCGCAAATGGTGAATTTCTCATCGCAATTCTCCAATTAATTCGTTGTGTGCGACACTCTAGTATGATCGAAAAGAGTATCCGGCAGTCTTGAGATATGCAGTATAACATCTGATCTGTGTGTGATAGTGCTGGCCCATGATTCAGGGGTCGTACGGCTGACAGGTGTTCCGTTCTTGCGGTAGATATCTTACAACTGCATGCAGCGTTATACGCATTTCACTACCAGTAGGCGCCGTACATGCCCTCGGCATCGCCATTCTTCTTTCAAAAGAATGTCTTCTAGAGGCACTAGTGTGCCCAACAACGCTCATTCAGCGCCAAACTAGTGTGTGTGACGGTAATGAATGATAATTTTGGGCCCACTGGTATCCGCGATAATGTTATATCTTGCCCACCTGAGCGGTTCCTGCCAGTCTTGTCCTGGGTAGCCAGGGGTTTACGCTGTCTGATACACTACCAATGTCTATCTGATATCTGGCAACCGTACGTGTTCAAATTCGATCTGTGTCCACCAACAGTTCGGTTCTGCAGACTCTGGCGCCTCTACTTTCCAGTTGGGATGATACAATATTGTCCGACGTCGTACGTTGTTTGAGGTTTGATATTCAACAGACTATGGTTGTGCCTCAATAGCCGTCCATCAACTGTTCGATACGCTCCCGGATACCTTCTAATTTGTAATATATATTTCTTAGTACAGGCCGGTGCTTTCGAGCTCTGCTGTTGCAACGTGTTCTATATCCCATCCCCGCTCATGATGTGGTTTGGTGTGTATCCGAGTCCCCGCTCGGCGCTTCTACGCGCTTAAGATTATTAGTTTATCTGTCTGTATGCAGACTGCATTCAGTACAACTTCCGCATTTGCCGAACAAACGACACTATCGTCGTCGCTACATTTTTGCGATTAAGTTGTCTTACTGTATACATGTGTTCGTGGTATGTCTCCAAAGTCATGTGAACACACTCAAGACCCCTAGAGGGAAAGGCACGATTCTATGGCGTCATGTCTACGTATATTCGTAGACACTTTGCTCTGTTCGTGAATATACGTAGACACTTCAAGTATGACCCATGCAGAATGTATGATCGGATGCCCGGGGAGTGCCTTTCTGTTCCCCTGACGTATTATCTGCCACAGTGCTGAGAAAAATAAATCGTGCAACTCTTTTGACACGTTAAATGACCATACTATTTTTCGCGTTTGCCCTCATTTGGAATTCCAATATATGATAACTGCTCCGTGAGAGTACTAAAGCAGCACCATAGGTTTCTGTATCCGTCCTTCGCGATTGCACGTTTATGGGATTCCAAATCGTTTCAGCTGCTTCGCGAGCCTATCAACGATGTACCTGCCTACTCTTTACCACGCGTAGGTTTCGACAACACGCATTGATATTTATGCAACCGGAACCCCTATTCTCCAGAAAGTACAGTGTAGGCGGATAGTGAATAATGTGGCTGACATTGCTGTGCTTGCTTACGCCTCGGGGATCGGTTGTGGAGTGAGAAAGGCGCAATTGCAATCATACTAAAAGTCACCATGGCACAATTCAGATCGTATCATACGAGTCTCTGCACACACCACAGTACATGTATACTATATAAATTGGGATGCGTGTGGCTGTGTGTATAAGCCCCGGTGTCTGTGTACATATCCATATTTGTGAACGCACTAACGCACTCTCCTCCGCCACCCCAGCATCATCTATCCACCCTAGTAGATAATATGCAAGGTGAGCAAATACGTCCGTATAAAAGTGTCATATCATAGTAAATGCGAGGACATTCGTATGATGTCCCGCGGACAGACCCACTCACTTCCAAGGCGTCAACCTCCATAGTTGTTCACACCTTTGGGCTCCTCCGTGATACGACACTTGTCTTGTAATGCTCACAGTGCGCTCATGATGTCAACTGTTGATACGTCAGTGTGCTTAATGCGACGTACGCGTGCATGCCGCATACACGCAGCTCAGCGTATATGACGTACATACACAATATCTTGCACTATCCCTTCCCCTCTCTATTTTACGAGATGCACACGCTACCGAACCCGTGCTGATCAAATCCCCGTTTCTACCTCTATCGGTTGCAGTTGGTTCGAGTATGCCGTCGGCATTTGATGCGTGTGTACAAATGTACGTCTACGTAGTGACGAAATTGCATGGCAGCATTCACAACGATAGGTGTGCTCACTTGCTCATCGATTCCCAGGCACCCTTCAGAACCCGTCCAGCATAGCCATATCCAACTCAGGTATATAGACACCGCCGCGATTCTCACTGATCAGGTCTCCATTCGCATCCTTATCGTTTTTGAATGCCCCAAAGGCGCTGTCATCAGGCTTGAGCGTGTGGTATTCGTCTGTACTTCGGATATTGTCCTTCAATATGCCGAATTCGGGGAGCGCTGAAATGGCTGAGGTCAACTTGCGTGACACCTCCACATGCTCGGCAAGGAGTTTATCGATCTATTTATAAGAGAATGGTGGCGAAGTGGTGAGCCTGACTATATACATAGGATTTCCGTAAAGTATGTATATATATCTATTTATAGAACAATGCAGAAGACCATGTTCGAAATAGGACATTAATAATTAAACTCCAATAAGCAAGGAAAAACATTCTACAAATAAACTAGGCACTTAAAAACGCAATGTAAAGTCATGTCAAAGTCATGATCCACTCCGTTTGAGGATCTGTTTGTGATTGCAAAGTAAAGTACTAATAATACGGACCGACGATACAGATGCGACCAAACTGAACACGAGCGATATAAGTCACAATGCTACCCTAGTCGATAGAGTTTATACCATCATCTAAGTATACTGATACCCATAATCAACTCATGTAGGCAGGAGCGGTATTAAATTGTAGTTATATAGAACAATTTATCAACTGGAGCGTACCATAGCACTTGAAAATGTACATACAACTCACCGTATATGTAGACATGTTTATGACTCAGGCTCTAAAGATACACACGCGCAATACCTAGCATCAGTCAGGGTATTCAGACATACACATAAATTATGATAGAAAACGTTAAGATAACCACTGGAGTGACACACGAACTACTTACGAGTTCGCGATTGGTTTTTTCTTCTCGTTTGAATTTGTTTCGGATTTGACCGCGGCTCCGCTTGGGGAACTGTAAGGAAGAAATCAAGGGAGCAACAACTCAGAAACAAGACTCACTTGTATGCTCGTGCGCAATGACAACTACACTCCATCGCTATGTGCATGCATGTGGATGAGCGCATGTGTGCATCAGCCGTGTATGTGTTCAAGTGTAAGTGTAAGAGTATGAATGCGTTATATTTGTGTCACATTAACGCACGCTTGAAACACCCTCCAAATGGTTAAAAGCCGCCATCGGAGTGCTTCTCCACGTTTTACAAGTGTGCTTCTCATTAAATGTCCACTCCTCGACCAACTCAAAATGACGAAAGGGGTGAGACGAAAATAAGCGCACAGAACTGAAACTATACAAATGAAACACAAACATTGTTATATATATTGCACACACACACACACACACACGCACATATATATATATATATATATATATATATGAAAATATATACATATATAGATATAAATATGAACTTAAATATAAATATAAATATATATATACTCATACGTACGTACACCTACACGCAGACAGACACAACCACACACATACACATCACCAACCCATCCGAGCCCCCAAGAAGTCCCACTTACCACATGCACCCAAGCATGCAGAAGTACACAACTAAACATACGCATTTTCACACATAATCGTACTTTTTGATGTACAAAGTTGAAGTCATTTCTGAATATCTTGACCACCCCACAGAAAGTCGAAGTGGCACTGCTATATCACTTATCCGTCGTAGCTATGATAGGTTTTGGGCACATGTCTGTCATAAGCCCAGATACACACACAACCCCAGGGTACATACGAGGACTTAGACATATACAAACCTTTTGGTGTATGAATGTGAAGTCACTCCCAAATATTTTGATCGCGTCATAGAACGCCAGAGTGTCGCTGGTAGTCCACTTGTCGGCCCTTTGCCACGTGGCATAACTGTGGTAAGACATGCGCACATGTTCATCATCCTCATAGACTATGTCCATAGGCTGATCTGGGTTGAAGCCCGGTATACTGTCATCAACGTGTGATACTAAGGTATCCTCGTTGAGAACTATGTTCCCATCTTCGTCAAACATTACCTGTGTAGATAGAAACATATATCAGGCTTCCCCTTCGAACTGGTTGTATCGTCCTAGTGCGAAGTACTTTTATGATATCATAAACTCTTAGATAATGTGACTATCTGACTCTTGGGCGAAAGAAGCGAGGAGTAGTATAGATGTACTATACAGAAATGAGGACAAGTATGCGAGGTGTGTCGTAAGAGTGCTATGCGGGAACTCGAAACAGAATAATATGATGCGTGATAGCTACATCAAAAAAGTGCGTACCCACAGGCCATCACATTCATTTTCACCCCCGTATTTATATACGGATAAGATTACGTATTTGAGGTTTATCTCCGACGGTGAAGAAGCAGCAGTTCGCTGGTGGTTTTTTTGTACACAAAAAGGAAAATGCAAAATCGAATACAAGGAAATTGCACATCCGCTTGATTAAAAGTAGCAGATCACTGAGCAATTCGGGTGTGCAATGCTAACAATCTTAACACAAAATAATGCACAGAATGGTACACACCAGAGTACTCACCCACGTGGTCGAATACGGATGTTATCACATGTACATATACGAACTGGACGATGTCACAGCCCAGACACATACACACATGACTGCACACATGTGTAAATGAAAGAAAGGGTTACCACGGGGTTGAAAAGCAGCAGCTACCTGGGTGATTTGGTTGCAGAATATCATACGAGCTACACAAATATTTGCTCCCAAAGCAAATGAAGCAAAGATTGAATATATATATATACATGTAAAGAGAAGGCATATATATATATATGATAGATACATACATACATATATATATATGCAAAGACAAGAAAGCTCACCTCAAGCAGCAGCTCCCTGGATGATTTGGCTATATGACGTCATACGAGATATACACATGTATACACACAATAGTAGAAGAAGTAAAGCTGGCACACATGTATATGTGGTGTATACAAATATTCATGCAAAGACAAGAAAGGTTACCTCAGCCTGAGAAGCAGCAGCTCCCTGGGTGATTTGGTTCCGCGATATACCAGCGCCGGCTCGTTTGATCTCTTTCGGCGCGAGGCATTCGAACTCAGCCCTCTGCTCGACTAATTGATGATCGTACTCGACAATCTAGACCAAGAAAACGATTACAACTAAATACTCGAACGTTCTATGAAGACAAAACAAAACAAAACAAAACAAAAATAGGTCTACTACTGAACATTGGACCAGCGGTTGCGGTTGAAAAATGAAATAATCATCATTTGGTAGTGGGCGAGTCGACGGTAAGCGGCTATGTGTATGACAGAAGAGAGCTACCAAGAACAAAAAAATCACGAGACAGCTTCGATTTGAAGCTCAATGTTCACTCAACAAGAATCAAACGTTCACAGAGAAAGTTTCAGCGAATAAAAGCGCACCAGTACACACAGAAATGTGGCCACTGTATTGAATACGCGTCCAACGAGTTTAAATGTCAACACGCGGATGGTTGGGTACTTGACAGAAAGCAATTTGAGTATAACAAAGTGTTTGAATATTCGTTTGTGTGAAAGTAACACGCCCAGATACAGACATAAAACATATTACATAGTTATACGTAAACTTCTTTGCATATATACAAACCTGTATACATACGTACACAGATGCATACGCACATACAAATGTATCATGACAGCTCCGAAAAAACAAAAGCAAAACCCATGTGAAATGTATATACGCACGATAATATCACTAAGTTCTAAATCATTACACTTCACATTCGCTAATAAACGGTACCTATACGACACACAGGTGAATCCAGACATATCGCGCCCATACGAATAAACTATACGAACAAACTATCATACCTCGTCTTCTAAGTTCTCCAGGGTTTGCTCTTCTTCAGCCAATTCCTTCTCGTCGATCACCTCCCTGCACAGCCGTAAAGGAGACATATCCATAATCTGTGGATTGATTCGATAAATTCTACATTTTCGAAGTTGTCTCCTTATAACCTCTGTGTATCCAATTACTCATTGACTATGCTCAGATCGGATCCCCAATCTCCAATCA